GTAGAAAATACAAAGCATGATAATAACCAGAACGAAGTGTAATCGACGAATGACTTTGCGCTTATCATTCAGAGTAAACACACGTCGAATTGAATGCCACATAGCTAATCTCGACGTGATGTGCTCCATAATTTGTTTAAGACATTGCAGACCAATCCAGATGACAATCTTCAGTCCGAGCGACAGACCTCCATAGATGCTCAGAATGGTACCAATGATATATCGGAAGCTCTGATGAGCTTCGAATTCGAATGTACAGAACGACGGAGCACATTTGTGATAATACAACGAAAACGAATAATTGGAAAACCATTGATCAACCATTAGTCGATTAACAATGGATTCGATTGTTTCATTTGGTGGATTAAGTTTTTCATTCAGCGGAGAAAATGTAAAAGATTGTGAAGCGACTCTAGCTGATTGATTATGAATTGTCAACATACACGAGAGATTATAGAAACATTGTAATGTCGAGAGAAGTAATGCTTCGATTGTTTGACAACCAAGAAAGAAATTAGGAACTGAATATGTCCTATTTCGACTGTGAAATTCGTTGATTTGATAAATACCGGCTTGGATCCGACATGATCGAGCCAAAGCGCAATTACAAGGGCCATAAGATCGTGATTGTAATGTCGTCTTTCTAGTAATGGGATTAACATCAGCGATTGAATTGAATCCACCATTGGATAATTGATTCCCGTGGGTTATTTCACGAACTAATTGAACCGTACGCACGAATGTGTTGATTGTAGTTGATTTCCAATTTTCAATCAGTGAATTGCTTTGAAGCTGAAATGAACGAGGAGAAAGCACTTGAAAACTTACAAGTTCTGTTTGAAAGAATATTCGAAGTGCATCCTTGATTGTTTGCTGAGCTTCTTGACAAAATGTTGATAAGGTTTGAAAATGAGTGTTGGCAGTGCCACGATAATCGAGAAAAAACGATGCGTCAGATTTCAAATAGTATGTGTAACTCATCCATTTTTCCGAAAGTAAATCGCTTGTACATAGCTGATGGTAATAAGGTCGAAGTTGAATAAAAGTTCCGTACGAAGTTGAAACTGAAGAGCACGGACACGAAAGGCTATGCGGGTGATCTTGTTGTAGTTGAAGATACTGTGATTCGCTTGGATAAACAATTGTTTTCGAACGAATCGATCTTTGTGAGAAATTGTAAATCGTTAAAATCGAGATTGTGATGAGAATCAACAAGATGTAGGCTCGAGTAGCATAACGTTCGTAGCGTATTTGTCGGTCAGTGCTTGGATAATGCCTGAAGATATTCAATTCAATGAGTGCCTTTCGACTATTTCGAAGAAGTCTTTGACAACGAGCACAAACTAAAATATAGTTCACTTAAGCAACAACCTTTGTTAACTGAATCCAACTATCCTTACAAGATGTTTGTGTCCGTGGTGTTCGATCTGTTAACCTTCGGACGGCTCGCATAACAATGGGGATAATTAATTTGAAACCAATGGCTAAACTAGCCAATAGACTGATAAGTTTTGTGATGACGTACATCTTCTTGTGTCGAGAGGTTTCATAGAATGTGCATAGTTTTGGTGCACATTGAGAATAATAGTTTTCATAGGAAATGTTTGTTATCCAATCTTCGATCATCAGTTCATCGACTACGGATTGTACGGTAGAATTTGGATGGAAGCGACTGCGTTTAGTGGCATTCATTGCTACGAATGTTTCATTCGTTATCGGGAAATATGAGAAAAGTTTATTCACACACGTTTGGTTATAGAAACATTCGAGATCGGAAAGAAGAATTGAATGCACAGGGAGACAGCCTGATGAGATTCCGGGTATTTGCCAAAGAAGAATTGCCGGAAATGGTTCTACAGATCGATTGAATACTTGGTGTATGCCTGAAGGACTCCACGGACAAAGTTTAATTTGACATGTACACCAGTATCCGTCGGTTTGCATGTATCCAATACCTATTCTAGCAAGATTAACGTTATTCTGGGATAGGAAATAGTATCTATAGGTCGCAACAGTTAGTAATCCATTCATTAGTTCATTCGTTCGGATCATGTCATTAACTAATCGTAGTAAACCATTGAAAGTATTTGGTGCTGTTGATTGAAGTTCAGTGATCGATGCTTGAATTTTTGATTGAAGATCGGTGTCAGATAGTACTTGAGGGGTTAGGAATGTACGAAGATAGAAGGAGTTGATGGCTTGCTCGATATTAGCTTTAGCTAAACGACAAAAACCAGCAAGTGCTTGAAATTGAGCGCTACCAAATGTTTGAAAATCGCCTCGAGGAAAATAAGTAGCGTTTGCTCGAAGATTTATCGTTTTGAGCCATCGATCGGAAATTACGTCACTCGAGCAAACTTGATGGAAAGTTGTTTGGAGTGAAATGAATTTGCTATGTGAAAAAGAGATCTGAGAACAAGGACACCGGGCATTTGAAGGAAATTTCTCGAACAGCTGCTTGGTTGGAAATTTCACTTTGACTATTGTCGTTTGACGCGTCAGCGATAAAAACAAGGCGATTACAATGAGAGTCCATAGAAGAACTATAAGATACACTCGAGTTGTGAGAAGATTCCAACGACGCGTTTGATCATCCTGTACTTCGATACTCTCAGGGCGCGGTTCGAAGAGATTTAAATTGAGAAAGTAATCTTTGAGAAAAGCCATTTTGCATACAGAAGATTTCAAGGTAAGGCTCAATCTCACGAGTAAAGTAAAGTTCGCTGATCTCTATGATAATAAGACGTTTCTGTCAAATCGGACTTCGGAGAACCTAGACTAAATAGTGGATGTCATGATTATGCTAGTACGATACATTCACATTATTCTGAAATGATGATCCTACGCAAAAAAAGCAATTTTGACAAAACTACGAAGGCTGTAAGTAATGCGCATACTTTTCTCTTATCGTCGCTCGTGCACGAGAAACGATAAGTGGATTTCCTCAGTTAAAATCGGCGCCACATGTTTCCATATAGAATGAGGATAAAGATAGACACATATTATGCACCTTTTTACTTATTGATAACAATTTTATGTAGGCTGATCACGATGTTGCGGAGTTTCGATTAAATACATGAGATAGGTTATATATAAAATCTCTTAATCCATTTGAAATCGTAGACCGTGTTAATACAGAGAACAGAAACAATAAAAGTTATTCATTTATTACATGTGGTAAAATGGATCGTTCAAGTAATGCGAATTCTGATTCGACTTCTTGCAGATCAATCATAGTTAGATCAGGATCGGCTTCTTGAGGGTTGCAAACAAGCTCTCACGAGAAATTGTGTGTCAGGTAAAAGAAGAATTTCATTTTCATTATGATCAAACGCCTGTCGGCTGATTTTCTTGCCATTTTGACGCATTACAAGAAACATTGCTCATATTCTTTTTTTCCCGAGGAACCAATCAGCTTCTAACACAGACATTGTATCCGTACACGAAGTAAACATCCATCAAGTGTAGGTTTTATTGACTTTGTACTCCTCTCGTAGATTAATGGAATTCCACGCCATATCGTTAATGCTTGAGAAAGGATTCTATCTAAGTCTGTCAAAAGAAGTTTCAAGTAGGAAAACCACGGCTTCAGTAGATTTCGATTCTCTTTACGCAAGTGAGGTCATCAGCTGGTGTTGTGCAGTTGCGTTTAGCTATACAAGGAACGATGGATTGAACAGCTTATTCCAGGGATATTAATGACAATTCTTGATACCCTTGAATACCGTCTGCACTGGATTCTTCTGATCGTCAAGAAAGCGTCGACTTTTAAGAAGTATTTTATTTCTATCTATAACCGAAGATGCCGCTGAGATATCTGTGGAAAGAAGCGGTGTTCTTTCTGAGTAGTTCTCTTCACTAGAGACGGGCAGATTGCTGTTCGTGCTGGATTCACAGTTTCCAGGACGATGTATTCCACTTGACTTATATATCTAATTATGGACAATCATTAAAGTTATGCACTACTTGAAATCACGGCATAGCTACTTCACTATTCAATGTTGTTCGGTCGTCATCATCATTTTCCGACGAATATTCTGTTGCCGTCACTTCTTTCACACAATCCCATATTTTCTTCTAGATACTAACGTAAAAACTTCTATATTATTATTAAAACACAAAGGAGAGCTGAATAAAACCTGTTTCGAAAGATGAAAATGCCTACGAAGAGTAACACACCGACAAAAGCAATAGATAAAACGTAGGATATCTACGGGCACGATTGGACATTATGTTGAGCGGATTCGTTCGAGCGTAAATTCCAATCAAACCAACACTGGTTCCAAGTACAACTTGCTGAGCTCTATCGCTTCCAATCATAAAAATTCTGCACCCTCACCCACCCTCAAGGTGGATTTAAATTCAAAACTAGATGCTCGTAATCGTTTGATAATTAAAATAATAAACTAGTACAAGAAAATTGCTTTTTTGGCAGCGATCTGACCTATTTTGCTTGTGAGTACTAATAGAAAACGAAAACTTTATTTTGTCTACATGATAGATTCGTATGGCGACGAGAATATCATTCAATGCTCCTCCACAAGATCTAAGTACGTTCAGTAAGCAGCTGTGATTCTTGTGTAGTTCTTTTCACTTCTCGCGTGTTCTATTCAAGGATGAAAAATATTGCTGATTCGATGATACTCGACATCTTGAGAGTTTAAGTGCGAGCTATTCGTTCAGTTCAAGCAACACACTTTGAAATCAAGTTTATACCGAATAAGCCGAAGAAAGAGGAATTGAAAGCAATTTTTGACTATAGAATGAGAATTATGTCAATAATTCGTGCTGGCACATTCAAATCTATGTATATTTTCTAAATGATGTAGCAAAAGCACTTCGTATCAGCGAATGACAGTGCGTTGAGATAAGAAAAAAGCTTACCAATGATGAGAAGCGCGATAAATGTCTTGAAATGAAAGTCACTTGTTTTTTTAACAAAAGGTGAGTACTCCAAGGAAAAATCTGACATTGTCATACTCAGCGAGTGAAATATTCACATGCAATCGACATTAATTCTCGTACTCGTTACGCTTGCTTTGAGCAGCACTTGCATTCGTTCCATGACGGTCAATGGACAATGGAAAGCATGGAAAAATCAGTTTCAGAAAAGTTACACAAATGTTGAAGAACGCCTTCGGTATGAAAGTTTATTGTCTTAGTTTCGTATCAATATATTTTTGCGTCTTTTAGCCGTATGATTTGGGAGAAAAACTTGGAATTAGTAGAAGAACACAACCGCCGAGCTGACCTTGGTCTTCATACTTATCGACTTGGAATGAATCAGTTTGCAGATTTAGTAAGATTTTCTTGGGTATTCATGACTACCCGAGGTGGAATTATTTAGACTAATGAAGAATTCGTCAAATTATTGAAGAAGTTTCCTAGTAAACGTATTCAAAAGACGAAGCGAGCGTTCACAGAAGATTCTAATCTTGAGATACCGGACACTGTTGGTATGAATAATCACATTGACGATTTATCAATGTCTTCTCTTCTTCTCAAACAGATTGGCGTGATAAACATGCTGTCGTTCCCGTTAAAAACCAAGGTCAATGCGGATCATCTTGGGCATTTTCAGCAGTTGGTTCAATTGAAGGCTTATATGCGATTAAAACGGGCAAACTCGTTTCACTCTCTGAACAACAATTAGTTGATTGTTCGACTAAACAGGGAAATTACGGGTGTAACGGTGGATTGATGACTCAATCTTTTCAATATTTGGAAGAAGCCGGTGGAATCCAGTCAGACGCCACTTATCCATACAAAGCGATTGAACAGACATGTACATTTAACACATCGGATGTTGTGGTGAGAGTTTGTGGATACGTTACCATTCCATCCGGAAATGAAAGTGTTCTCCAACAAGCTGTAGCTTTGATTGGGCCCGTTGCAACTGCTATTGATGCCAGTCACTCTTCATTTCAAATGTACCAAAGCGGAGGTAGATGTCGACTTTTGTTCGATTTGGTTATTTGCTATTTTTCCTAGTTTACGATGAACCACAATGTCAGGCTACTCAACCCGATCATGGAATCTTTATTATTGGTTATGGAAATGATTCAGGCAAGGACTATTGGCTCTTAAAAAACAGGTCATTAGAACTAATTTGAGGTAGATGGTGTTTTTATGCATATTTGCATTTTAGTTGGGGTACTGGCTGGGGTGAAAAAGGTTTTGTCAGAGTGGTACGAAATAAAAATAATCAATGTGCTGTTGCTACAATGGCTAGTTATCCAATGATATGTTAGAATCAAAGCGGATAAAAAGAAAAGAATTTTCTATATCAACAAGAAGAGAATATTTTTCCAATAAATACAGATATTGAGTATAAAACCAATTCATATGATAGAAAGATATCTTGAGGGTGAGGGTGGACGCAATTTCCGTGTTTTTGAAGCTTACACAAACACTCGTATCTTGTGCTTGCTAACAGCCGGATTTTCATCGTGAAGATGATCCTTCTAATTTCGGACACACCCTCGACGTCAATTAGATTATCTTTCGCTAGTTTAATGAATATCGAATTTTCACTGGATAGGAGAGGCAAACCTTTGGCATTCCAAGCTGGTGGTTTTGACGCTGCATAATCCTTTGTTTCACAAAAGGGAATCAACTCATCAAGTCGCCTTCATCCTTAACATGTGATTCGTGACATGACCTTATAAAGATAACTTAAAGAATATTGTTATTCTTCATATTTTATTGTTTATATAGATAGTATGACGACTCTTGATGCAAGAGATGTGTACGTTAATATCACAACGGTTTTATTTATTTATTTCTCTCAGATCGCATCGTCTTTATACAGAACGTGCGTTTAGATAATTGTCCATTGAGTAAAAATAAACATAGGAAAGATAATGCTAAAGTACATTAAAAGCCTAATGAAGTACGGTCACATAGCATGCAAAAGGCAAACATACGCGGCATTGTCACAGGCAGAGATTCATAAAAACATCGTCTTCATTTTCAACAATACGCGAGTCGAACAGAGGCACAGAAGCACAAGAACTGATGAATCTCTGAATTCAAGAGATATCTAGTCTACTTTTAAACTTTCTTTACCATGAAATGCGACAATTAAAGACTCATACCATTCTGCTCAATTTACCCATGCAATAAGATGCTTTTGGTAATAAAGAGACCATCTTTTAATAATTTGATTCGGCACTTTCTAACGTAAAAAGGCAAAAGTACCATTGAGCGTACAGCTTAAAAGTTTCCAGGTATCGTCTAACAAAAGTCGTCAGGACACTAGGACAATTCTATAACCCTTTTACACCGGTATTCCTTTTCGAGAGTATATCATGTAAAGAACAAAATTTGACAACACATCTTTTTCTGTACTTCATTATGTTTTGTATTTGTTACTATCATAGCCATATACTCTTAGAGAATATTGTTATCGTAATCATATTAACACACGTACACAAATGTATCTGATTCTTACCGAAAGCCGTTCCTTAGTCCATAAACAACTAGCGGTCATCATAGCAATCATCCATCCTGGAAAAGTTAAAAAGCAGCATACAAGCGTCAAAAACAGCCTGCACTGTATGAGGCCCATGCTTCATTAGCGCTAATGAAGTAACTGCTTTTTTCTGAACGAGACAGAAATCGCCTTCTCTGGAGAATCAAAGGGCATTCGTGATATAGAAGTTCAGCGCTCAAGAGTACTACCATAGCCTACAGAAGGGCATAATATACGACCAGCGATCGACAAACGAACGTATATTATATTTTTCGGTCACTTTCTTGAATATGACCCTCTTCTAAGTCGAAGTAGTCGAGCTATATGTGAAAAAAAAATGTACCGGGAGCGGCTAATCGTTCTGATGTACATAGATTAGCAGTTTGTCTGGTCAAGCAAAATCCCTAATTGATCATAGTTTTTTGATTCATGCCCTTGCAGACGAATCTGAAGGAAAACAAATATCTATTTTGTTTCATTATCATATCTAGTCCTCAACTCACGATTGCTATTCAAATCTCTTAGATAAATATTTAAATTTTGTAGTCTATAAATTGAGATCCTTGGATATTTCATTGAAGACTAGGATCAGGAACGCACGACTTGAGTCAATGTGGTAGGTGAGAACGAAACATTATCTTGAATAATTTTCCAAAGAAAATATTATTTAACTTTCGAAATGTAGACGAACATATTCCCCAAACATTCCATCTATTTAATCATTAGATATAATCTCTTTCAATCGAGGACACCAGTAAGAAATCAAGGCATCACTAGTAGATTGTCACCTATCTACCATAGTTTTAGGGAGGTTGAAGGGACTCGCGCGATGTAGTACCTTTATCAAATCCAAGTAATATACTCCTCCCAAATGATACAACTTTGGATTATAAAAGATTGGAAAAAATGTTTCTTTGACTTTTGGCTCCGTCGCTCAGGACATATCCTAGAACATGTATCTTTGAGTTTTAAAAATTTCAATAAATCCTGACTTTTGATCCTGACAGCCTCACCCAAACATAGAAACTATTTTTTCGTATGGCCTTCCTTTCAGCCGAGGGAATAAAACAAGCATCACACATGATAATCGAGGTTAATCGACAAATACTTCATTAACTTGTGTTAGTTATGATTAAAAGAATATAAACCGAGTAGCAAATGAGGAGACAAAGTTTAATTCGAAGTCATGAATATACATATGTTTGGCACATCATTACTAATGAATAGAAAATAATATTTGTCATTTTACTTGTTTTTTTGTACAAAGGAATTACGTTCTGTATTGTAAAACAAAACTCCTAAGTCGTGGAAAAACCGTGTTCGGTATTTTATTATACGGATATAGAAGACAATTGTTAGTTTCTGGAGATTTGACTGTACTATATATAAACCTTTATGTTATTTATAAACAGTAAACACGCCATTTGTTCTATTTGATGCGAATATAAATATCGATGTGATAGTTTCATGAGATCTTATTTTCAATTTCTAAGTAGGCTGATATTTATTTTGAAAATAATAAAAACTGATCGACTGGATTATTATGATTTGATGGTCAAACGTTTACTGAATTTAAAGCACAAAATGACAACATGGAAGGCAGTCATTTTGAATATTATTATTAATTTGATATCGGTTCAACCCGATTCGATCGTCGTTTGGATGATTTATATGCATTAAGCAAAATGTGTACGATTACTTTGACTGATATTACTAATCCACCGTAAAGTCCAATAATATTTGTTAGAACATCGATTGAACCACGATGTTGAAAATACGAATAAGTACAAGAGAGTGGATAACATTCATTAAAATATTTTTCATAGAATATTGATTTTGACCATTCTTCTACCATCAGTTGATTAATTAAAGTTTCAACTGAGGCATTTTGAGGAAAACGACTTGCAATATATGAATCCAATGGATTGAAAGAGGTATTTTGTAATTGTATTTGTTGAAAGCATGAGGAGTCAAGGAAACATTGTAAGGATGATGTAAGTAAAGCTTCAAGCGGATAACAGCCAACGTACAGTCCAGGAATAGTGTTATTTTTAGCCACTACCGCTGGTTGAACACATTGTGAAGATAAACCACAATCACATGTACCATAGTGAGTCGGCTTTGTTCGAACCGTCGCATCAGCTCGAAATGTATCATTTGTCATTTTCTTCCATTGCCAATTTGTTCCACGAAGTGTCATCAATGTATTATCATTAGTTATTTGACGAACTAAATGAAGTGTGTTTAAAAATGCATTAGTCATACTGACTTGAAATTGATTGATAAATGATTGAATTTGATCATTAAACGTGACTCTTGATAATATATGAGCATTAATAAATTTAGTAGCTTTCAATTGTGAGAGCCCATCGTTGACTGTTTCTTTGCTCAACTGACATAAAGATGCCAGTAGTTGAAAAAAAGCCGACGACGTCGATCGAAAGTCCATTAAATCAAATTGAGTAAAATTTTTATCAGAAAATATAGCTTCAATCCATTGATTAGAAATAAAAGAGCTTCTACACACTTGATGATAATTAATCACAGAAACATTAATCAATACTTCGTATGAAATTGAAACTTTGGAGCAAGGGCATTGAAGAGTGTTCGGATATTTTTTAAATAAATTTTCATAGATCTCAATTGATGGTTTGAATATTTGGATCGTTTTTGTTTCCAGTTGAAATGAAGAAAATAAAAAGAGTACTACTAATATAATTACTAACAGTAAAAGTTTAAGTCGATTGGGTAAATATTTTTCTTTCATCAAACTAAGAGTCCATTGTTTCATAGCATCAATGTGGTCGAAAAATGAACGATTGCTTCTCAGTTTTTGTACAATTTCTAGTAGAATACTAATCATAATTGTTAAACCTATTGTTAGACCACCAAAGACAGAGATTACAGTAGTAATCAAGAATAAGAAATCATGCTGACGAGTGTATTCAAACGTACATGTTTGAGGTGAACAAACTTGGTAATAATTATAAAATGATAAATTTGACGACCATTTGTCAACAAATAATCGATTAATAATTAATTCAATCCTTTCATTATTTTGATTTTTACTTGAATTCATTATTGTAAATGAACTGTTTCCTAGTGGTAAGTATAGAGCAATTTTGTTCATACATGTCTGATTATAAAAACATTCGAGTGACGAATCGAGTAAAGCTTGAACAGGAATACATGACGTATAAAAATTTGGTATTGTATCAAGTCTTGTAAAATTATACGTAAACGGATCAAAATCATAAAAGGCCATTAATGTACCACATGATTTTGATATAGCACAATTACAAGTTGAATTTGTTTGATCATCAAAATAAGTTAATGGATACGGTATGATTTCACCTGTATCACTAAAGTTTAATTTGAAATTGAAATAAGCATTTATCAATTGATTTCCTTGTTGAGTCGTTTGAATCAATTGAAATGTTCTATTGAAACTTTTAATTGTTTCTAATTGCCAATCTCGAATTAATCCGTTCATTTGTAGACTAAATAGTTCTGGCGAAAGTACTTGCGATGTTACAATGTCATCTTGAAGAAAAAGCTGAAGAGCATCAGTAATAATTTGTTTAGCTTGTTGACAAAAAATCGCTAAGAGTTGAAATTGTGCACCGGCATTTCCTTTATAATCTAAGTAATAAAAATATTCTCCAGCTGCAATACCTTGATTTGTATAATCGATCCATACAGATGAAACGAAATCACTTGAACAGACTTGATGATATTCAGGTTCCATTTCCATAAAAGTATTTCTTTGAATTGAAATCAATGAACAAGGGCATTCTAAAGTGGACGAATAAATTGATAGAAGATATCCATATTCAGATTGGGTCGGTTTTTGGATTGTTTCTCGATGAACTTCACGTGATAGTGACGAATAGAAAGTTAATATAATTAGAACTATAAGTAAAATTAATATATAGATTCGAGTGGCTATACGTTGATCCGAAATAAACCGTTCATTATCAGAATTATCATTAAAAAGATTTAATTCAACAAGATTCTTCTTCACTGATAGTACCAATCGGCATATACGTTCTCTCACTACAAAAAAAAACTTGATTAAGAAAGAGATTTGATAGAAATAATAACCTACTAGAAATAGCTTCCGTTATTTCATCAGTTGGCCGTCGTCGAATAAAGTTAACGATTAATGGAACTATGATAGACAATACCGTACAAAGTCCACCAAGAAGACCAATCAATCTACTGGAAACAGTGAAATAATCAGGTCGTTCATTGATCGAATAACGACACATTATTGGCGCGCACTGAGTATAATACTTCTCAAAAGAGATCATTGATCCCCAATCTTCAACCATTAATCGATCTATGATTGACTGAACAGTTGAATTGACATTGAATCGACTAGTTGCCAATGGAGTCATTACATTAAATTTTGCATTTGGCGTTTTCGAATATTGCAAAATCCTATGAAGACAAATTTCATTGAAAAAACATTCAAGTGATGATTGAAGTAATGTATTGACTGGCATTAAACCTGTCATAATTCCTGGTACACTCATAATTGGCTTATAATCAAGCGAAATATATCCTTTTGTGTCAATGGCATATTCATTGTAAATTCCGCTTGGTTCTTCACAAATAAAGGATTCTAAACACCAACACCATGATTCATTATTATGTTGAAATCCATTGATATTTAACTGAACTCGAAAACCAACATCACCCGCACGAAGTGATGGGAAAAGACAAGTTTCTAATCCGTTGAGTAACTCGTTAACAAGAATTATCTGATTGATTAGTTCGACCTGTGTTCGAAATTGATTAGGTGCTGTTCTTTGAAAACGGTCGATTGTTGATTGAACTTCAGATTCAAGAATAGATTGAGAAAGTGCGTAAGTATTAATCATTGATGTTGTTTCAAACAACAGAAGACTTTCTGCCACTTTTTCTTTTGATAATTGACAGAAACTCTTTAGTGCTTGAGAAAATGCACTTGCTATAGCACGATAATCACTTGCAAGATAATTTGTTGTAATATTTCCAAAATAAAATGATTCAATCCACTGATTAGAAATAAAATCACTTGAGCACACTTGATGAAATAATGGTTCATGAGAAATAAATTCACTATAAGGTAAAGAACTTTTTGAACATGGACATGAAGGATCGACTAATGATTCAAATTGAGACTGAGTAGGTTGGTCGATAACTAGTGTTTTTGTTTCAATTTTTAGTTTTGTTGCAAGACCAATGCCAAGCAAAACCATTACTAAAGTTATCAGATAAACACGAGTAGCAATAAGATTGCTTTCTAGCTGATGATCAGTCACTTCTTCTTCATTTCTGTTAGATCGAAATAAATTTAACGTCAGAATATAGTTTTTCACAGTATTCATTTGAGATTCGCCAATGAAATAATGAACCTAGAGCGTTCCTTTTACTATCCTTCATGAAGAAAACTAACTATTTCAGAAGTCATATGACTCTCGAAGTCGATAACCAGATGACGTTCTACATTTATTTGACGCTTTAGTATTAATAAGCACTATATAAGAACTAATGTTTTGATGATTTTTTCAATTCATACCAGAATAACATCAGGCAAAAATTATTTATTGAACATTCACTCTACAATATAAGCTGCAAAGGCAAATTCCATATTGCAAGATCATGATTTTCTGTATATCACAATTCTCTATTTAGTGGAAAAAATGAACCTGAGACATAATTAACGCCTGTCGAGAGTGAATCGCTTGACTTTCGACTGAAATAATGAGTAGCGTGGAAATCGTTAACTCGATTCGAGTATTCAACCAATCCTTCGAACTCGAAACTATGAGTTTTAAACTTTTCACCTCATAACTAATTGATTATTAGGTATCAACCAACGGACTATGAAGTAATCGGTAACTAATTATAAAGTTTTACTTTATCAATTATTAACTACGTGATTATGAATTATTATCCAATTGGTTATTACGTATTATCTGGAGGTTGAAAGTGATTTTGCTCTCGTGAGGTGCACCCTTTACAGCGAATAGAAAATTAGATAATAAGTAATAATCAGTTGGCTAATGACAGATGATCAATCGGTTAATGATTAGCATTTAATTAATAGTCTAACAGTTGAAAAGTCGAAAATTTAGCTTCTAGATTTAAAAGCTTAAAACTCAAATATTCTTTTCGTCTTATACATGTGTGGTTTTATTTTATTCATCACCGCGTTTTATTGAACAATCATCATTCAGATAATCAATAAACACAGGAGTAACGCTCATCGATCGGATTCGTTGAGCTATTTTGGAAAGAGAAAAGGATGAAACACTGCCTAGATCTAATCGCTTGATACCTCTAAACAAAATATCATTCATACTTGCTTTCGTTCGTACAAGCCTATCATAAACAAGCGCTTAATCGTTCACCGACCTTCCTCTGATCGGATACTTGCGGCTAGTCGCTATAATTCGAATAGGGTAGTTCTTTACATGTTTGCAATACTGTCGGATGTAGCATAAAAAATGATACCGTGGGTATATTCTTATTTGGTTGATCTTCGATCATCATAGAAATAGCCGGTTAAATGTGAAAAGTTAAGATTAGCCGCTTTTAGCGAGTTACCATTTCATTTTCACGCCCATCTTTATTTTGAAATGCACACTAAATAAAGAGAAAGATAACGATCCTGAAATCAGTTCGAGAAGTTAAACCTAACTTGATACTTTTGCTTTTTCGATATGAGACATGAATGAAAAGTATGGTAATAGTTGTGTTATTATTTCAGTCGAGGGTTATGTGAGTCACTCTCGACGAGCGTTATCTATCTATTTATCACTTACAAATGAACTTGAACATATCTAAATTCTAAATAAATTCATTGTTATTTCAAGTGAGAAATCTATTTGATGAAATGTTGAATAATGAATTGATGTATTTGAACATGGACAATGAAAAGTCATTGCATATTGTTCCTTTAACGAATGAAATATTTCTTAAGAACGGTTACTATAACTATAACAGAAGCTTTTTCTTGTAATAATAAAAATCTACGAAGAATAACGTTTGGTTTGAATTGGTTCATGTTCTAAGGAACTGTTGTCAAACATATTGAATGCGTAAATCTAATGTTGAAATCGATTGAAGAAAACAAACATTATGTATACTTCACAATCAACCAAACGAACTTTTAAAATTGAAAAAGCAAAACTAATCTTTTTGCGTATATTCTCAAAAAAGTATTTATCTTAGAAAACTGCAATGACTTGCATGAATTAGAATATTCGAGGTGTCACATATGATTTTCTCTTATATTCATTTCTAAAATTTTTGGAGGATCAATCTAGCGTACCTGAAATCCATTTCAAAACTTAATTTCCTGATATTTTAATAGTTTTCATTGTTGCATTTTCAATAAGTGAGAGAACACAAAAGTGTATTAACACCATCTACTCATATATACTAAAGAATGAAAGATCATATGATAAACCGTCTCAAGCGAAAAGCAATGTCCATAATCCTAACTTAGACTTTCTAAGTTATTAGACAAAGGTAATCATGAAAGAGTTTAAATAATTCGAGAGTAACATGTACATTGCTATGTTCATTTCAAACTATTTTCATCCAAAGCTGTTTTCAACAGCAAAAAAATTGAAAATTTGTATTCAGATTTTATTGTAACTTAAAACATAAACTATCATTAGGATAGATTTGTCATTTTTCTTCTTTTCAATCAATTTGAAACGAACTCTTGACTGTGTCATAAGTCTGACTGTGAGGATGATGTGAATTACATTCTCCATTGCAAATCATAACCGTAATATTGTAAACTCCAGGCATCCATAGTTCACAAGGCGCTATCATAAAAAACAGATATAGTTTCTCTAAGAATTCAAATAGAAAACTAATTTTCTTCTTACTAATGTCAGATACACAATCGGGATCAGGAGTCGTATCAACAGTGAAACGTTCAGCATATAAACCTGGTTTTTTTTCTTCAATTAGAAGGAACGATGAAATTCTAAGATCATCGACCGGATGAATGGTGTACAACAATTGACCTGTACCAGTTCCATTCATCGATTGAAAAGTTAAATCAAAGACAAATTTTGTCGAAGCCGTAGCATGTGGTGGTGAAATAACAAATGCTTGAATCTTTGCATCACCATGATCATTAACTAAAATAATCAAAGAAAGATTTTGCTTAATTGTCGTTTCAATTCAATACAAATAAAATGATTCATTTTTACCTGGACAAAGTGTTAATAATTCACAGAAATAAATTGGATCAAGATCGACCTTTGTTGCTATGCGGATAAACTCGTTTATTCCAACAACATCGCAAGCAATCGAACAAATAGCTTCTAAATATGGTGATTCCGATTTTTTCGTAACATATGAACATAGATCATCACATGTTGTTATGATACCCAAGTCCATAATACCCTGAATCACAAAATAGATCAACGCATCGAATGTATTAACACATGTAGAACACAAATCACCACGCTTGACGTCGTGTTTTGCAGATAGCATGCCAGATCTGATTGAATTTGATAAAGCATCCGATTGATGTGCATGTGCCACTAGGTTTCCAGAAACGAATAAGATGATCAAACAAAAAGCCTTGTGCATCGCTCTTTTTTTGAAAAATAGATAATGATAAGAACAATGCTGCTGCCTATAGACAATAAATACAATACGTATGAGAACGAATGAAACCTGTTTCGAATGTTGATCCATACAAGATAAAATAGAACTTTGCTCTTCGAGGCAGATTATTTCATGCGAAAGATAACATATGTACGCTTTTTATTAGTCGACCCTTGTTTTTCTTCTTACTTAACATAAAAGTACTGAAGATAGGAACAATTTACCTTGTGTACCTATAGTCTTTACTGTCTGGTTTCATTCTTGGTCTTGAATTCAAAGGTTTAGGCATACATGTATCAGTCGAAAACTCCACTCGAGTATTAAACAAGTAGCACCAGTGTTTTATCCAGGTTTTTTCCTCCGAGGGGGCAAAATCAACTTTCGGGAGGGTAGAAAAATATTTTCACAGGAGACATGATCTGAATATTATCTATTATATAACATTCATATTCATACTTTTATAGGATATAATTTGTTATTTACGTAGGAATCAATTTTTCATTTCATTTATTTAAAAGGTGCGCGCAAAATAAACAGAAAAGAAATAAGAAATTAATGCGTAAGAAAAAACTTGCTACCAACTAGCGACAAGAAAAGCAAAGAAATATATCAATATAACACTTATATTGTGAATGATAATATTCAAGAGAACATCTCGATTTCGGATGAAACATTGGACTAATAGATTAATCAAATATACATTTCAGAATATCTTCCAATGCAATTCTTAATTAAATTATATGCATACAATTCTTTGTATGTGTGACAGCGTTTATTATAAAAGTGATCATCTAATTAATTGAACTCGTCATTCACAGGTGAAAAATTACGAAATTCCGATAATTTAGCTCATTGACATTAGGAATACAGAAAACATTAGAAGCTTCTAACAAATAACGATTAGATAATGTCAGAACAGAAGTTTATTTTGTCTCAAAAATATTATATGAAACAGCAAACTTCTTGAAAAATCTTTCACAAAGATTGTTTTTAGAAAATAGTACACTTTTTAAAATTTCAATT